CCGACCAATGGTGTCGATATCACCTGTGACGTAGTAACCGACCTGCGCAATATCATACCTTGATTTCTTTGTATCATGACTGTTGACAATATAAAAAAGTCATTTTAACACTTAGGCATAAAAGTAAAGCACTTTAACGCCTAAGCATAAAAGTACGGAAATATATTATTAAACTGGCACAAAGTATCAAATTCAACGAGCGTAACCATAGTTTCTTGATATAATATAATTATATAGAAAGTATGACCAAGTATGACTTTTAAATTTTTTTATATTATTTGGAATGTTTAAAATTGTTTAAAAAATTATTTGTGGGATTCAAAAAAAAATAACATGTTCTATTCGGAGTAAAAATGACTTTTTGTGCCTCGGCTGTATGTCAAACGTACAGCCTCGCCGCAAAAAAATGTAATTTTTGACTCCTAATAAAACAATATACTATTTTTCAACTGCAGTGACATTATACAGGGTGAGTTTCCTACGATGTTCTCTATGGGTATCTCGGAAACTACTGGAGATAGAGAGTCGGTTAAATAGGGAAAGAATTGCAGTTTTGTGGGGTCATAAATATTCGCCTTTCAGATTTTTGAAAAAGTTCATGGGTTACTAGATATTTCGAAAAAAACAAATTTCGACTATTTTAAAAATTGTCTCTAGTTCCATTATAAGCTATTTTAGACAAAAAATTTTCAGATAAAAGTTGTAGATAATCACATCCTTAATGATATTCTGTCCTCCGTTTTTTTTTCTAAAGCCTGTAATTTTTGATATATGACACAAACATGTATTTTTTTAAATAGAAACCATAGTTGGCCATGACTTCATAAAAAGCGCCATTTTTAAAGCTTTTTAGTGATATAAGCTATAATACCTTTTCTTCGAAAAATTAGTGAGTTATAGCCAATTCTTGTCATTTTTAAACAATTTCACTTAGTTAGCCATGGAAACAAGTTCAATCGCCGTTGCTCTCAGAAATGTTAAGCTGTCACATCCAAACTTTGTAAATTATGATAAACAAAAATTGTAAATATGAATTTTTCAAATGAAGAAAAGCGTGTAGATCCGCGCGCATCAATAGAGTGATTCGAACATGACTTTCAGTATGACACACCACCCCCCACCCTTCATAATGAAAGAAATTTTAAAAATCATTTATATCATAATTATACAAACGCAGGGATAGAAAGAGGTGTACTAATTGCATGGGCCTCCTCGATCACCTGACTATCCATTATTTTTTATGCGGTATAGTTAACAATAAGGGTTTACAAAGAACTTATGAATTAAGAGAAGCACTCGAAGTGGCGGTACGAGAAAAGTTTAATTAAGTCGACCGGTCCTTCTGTGAGAATAAGTAGTAATTCAGTTTTAAAAAGATGCAACTCAAAACAATGGCGGATTTTTTGAACATTTTCTAAAATAACTTAAAGTGTATGTAGTGATATTATTTTTTTAAGTTTTAGTTTGTCTAATGTAAATTGTAAAGAACCGTTTAGTAATATATTCTGACTTTTTATAAGTTATAAATCATAACAGAATAAGAATACCATGCAATCTAAGTGAAATTAGTCAAGAAAGATTAGAATTGGTTATAACTAAATTTAACTTTTCTAACGTGTCTTGAAGACCGTTCTCTAAAAAACGTAACATTCACCGGTCAACGTATCCTCGAAAATGTATGGCCAAGAAAGGTTGAACCAATAATCCTACACGCTTTTTCTTCATTTGAAAATTCATATTTACAATTTTTTGTTTATTTTAATTTACAAAGATTGGATGTGACAGCTTCACATTTATGAGAGCAAAGACGATTAAACTTGTTTCCATGGCTAACTAAGTGAAATTGTTTAAAAATGATAAGAATTGGCTATAACTCAGTAATTTTTGAAGAAAACATATTATAGCTTATATCGCTAAAAAAGCTTAAAAAATGGCGCTTTTTATGAAGTCATTGCCAACTATGGTTTCCATTTAAAAAAACATATGTTTGTGTCATATATCAAAAATGACAGGCTTTAGAAAAAACCGGAGGACACGGTCTCATTAAAGATGTGATTATCTACAACTTTTATCTGAAAACTTTTTGTCTAAAATAGCTTATAATGGAATTAGAGACAATTTTTAAAATAGCTGAAATTTGTTTTTTTCGAAATATCTAGTAAGCCATGAACTTTTTCAAAAATCTGAAAGGCGAATTTTATGACTCCACAAAACTGCACTTCTTTCCCCATTTAATCGACTCTCTATCTCCAGTAGTTTCCAAGATACCCATAGAGAACATCGTAGGAAACTCACCCTGTATAAATCATAAAAACTATTTCATAGATCTGTTGAAAAGAATCAAAATCAAAGGCATAGTTTTAATATAAAAATTGCCAAAAAATTTTAGTGTCTTTTTAAAGGCGAATATCTCAAAAAAATAAAGCTATAGAGAAGAATCAAAAAACAAACTATCGAGAACGGATGCATTTAGTTAATAAAATTATTTTTAAATCCCTTGCTTTGTTAACATATTCCACAGGGTATTTCAAACTTTCACCAAAATATCAACATTTTGTTTTTCCTCGTATAATTGACAGAAACTTTTATTTTTAATTTAGAAAGAGATACTAAAAAGCCAAATTGTTTAGCTACAAAATGCTTAAAAAATTGGTTCACTAGAATACTAGAAATTTTCCTAACAAACATAAATTACTTAGTGTTTCATAGGGTATATCTCCCCCAGTGGTCATAAGCAAAAAATGAAAAGAACGAAGAAAATTATTTAAAATGTAACTATTTTCAGAAAGTCAGTGTCTTTTTATTCATTAGGAAATTTGACTAACTCCATTTGGATTTTAACGCAGTGGCATTTTACAAAAAAAAAGTGTTTTTTTTAAACTTAGATTTATGTTTCAGTGGCAAAATATCCAGGATTTTTCCAGGCACTGGTCATTAGGTATAGATATTATTAGCATACCAAAATTAAGGCACCAAACCATATTTCATAAATTTTAAGAAAGTCTGATGGGGTACTTTTGTAAACACCAAAAATCTAGTGAGTTTTACAATCGTATTTAAATTAATAATCTGTCAGCATTACTAATAGACAATTAATAGATTGAACGATGAAAAGTCTCTAAAATAATGAATCTAACTGAAATCATATTTTAAAATAATTCGTGTTGTAATAGAAAAAAAATCACCAATCTGGTGTGTATTTTAATAAAGAAAACATATTGTTAGATCTTTTTAGCTAAGTAACAAATCAAAGCAGTTCTCGTTAATAAACGATGAGTTAGTTCGACACGTGAAGAAATAATTTTCTTCAAATCATGATTGGTAAAATACACACAATTAAGTAGGTATACCAAATAAGTTATTGTGGAGTTATTATATCATTATTTTTTTAAAGCATTTATTAATTTTAGTTGAACTTAAAACTAGTTAGGGGGTAATTTTAGTAAAAATATTTTTTTTCTTAGTATTATAAATTAGCTTTTATTGATATATTATAAATTTAATCTAAATTTAATTATTAATTTGTTATGAAATATATACAAACATTAATTTTAATACAAAACTGATTTCCTAGTCCAAATAAATTTGCAATAATTCTACTTGGTTTTTAGGTCTTCTTCTCTACAGTTTTAGATATTTATTGTGTTAAACTAATTTACACATATTTTGTACAATTTCGGAAGAAGAAAATCAGTCTTCACGTGTTTGTTTTTATTTACAAATCTTTAAAATACAAAAAAATTGCATTTTAAAGGTTGGTACTAACTCACGTTTATTCGTATGTACATGTATGTACACCAGTGTTATAAATGAGATGATGAGATGATATATACCTGAGCAGTCTGTCATGGGGTCACCTAGGTATCCTGGAGGGCACGAGCACTTGAAACTACCCTCCAAGTTGGAACAGAGGGCGTTCCGACCGCAGGGACTTCTTGCGCATTCGTTGAGATCTAAGCATCCTGTTGTGTAAGCATCACCTTCGAAACCTGAAGAAACATAATATTATATGTATATAAATATGTACAGGGTGGCGCACCTCATTCGCCTCGGTTGATTATCCGAAAACGGAAAGATGTACAAACAAAATATTTTATGGTTATATGTGGGAAGGCAATGTGCATAATTTAAAATTATTTTGAAATGTACAGGATATGTCAGAAGTAAGATCCACACCAAAGTTATATTTTTCTGTTGGAACACCCGGTATTTTATTTCATATTTGGATCCTTGGACACAAGATAAGACATTTATTATAAGGGTTAAATATGTTTACAAGCTTTGGTTTTTGAGATATTTAAAGATATTTAAATATGCATGTTATAATAAAAAACATTGTCAACACCCTGTACATTGATTTTCAAAATTAATTCTTGTGATGACTTTTAAGCCAAAGAAATAAACTTTACTGAAAAATTTGATTGTTTCGTTTAATGTATACAGGGATATCAAAAATTGCTGGTGTATTTTAAATATTTATTTTACATAAAAACTTCGTTATTTCAAATACCACACCCTGTATTTTTCAAAGTAAATCGAAGCAGATTTAAATGCTCTTTCAAACTATATTAAGGTTTCCTATATCTTTCAAGAAAATGGCAACCAAGAGTGCTAGTCTCGTGATGGCAAGTTTCTAGTGACAGTTAGTAGCTATTTTCAAAATCGAAATTAGTTAATGGACTTTATTTAAATTTATACCAGTTTACTTTTACTTGATTCACCCACAACAGTTTAATACATAATATTTATTAAATAGGTACGCATTTATTATTCTATCAAGAACAACGAAGAAGTAGTTCTTTGATTTATTTTACGATGATTTGTAGATATAGGGATTTTCTATAAAAGAGCCAATTACGGCAAATTCTTTTTCTTCACTTCTAACGACAGGTTTCTGCCTAATAGTTTTTTTTTAACCACCGTACTAGCTCTGCGATATAGGACAAGTAGTTTTTCAAAAAAAGGAACGTTTATCAGGAAGATTCCTATTTGAATATCTTTGAGCATAAGCCCTTGAGGACAAGAAGCAATTTTCTTCACAAAATAAATTTACTAGTAACATATCCATTCGTAACGCCAGCAGATACTGCTTTATTTTTCTTGATAAAATAATGAATAGTTACTTATTAAACTATTGTAGTAAACTTAAGTAAATTCTTACAAATCTAAATAATAATGTGCATAAACTAATCTCGATTTTGAAAATAGTTACTATAACTGTCACTAGAAAAATGTCATGGCCTTTTGATTGCCATTTTATTGAAAAATCGTTTTTATTCAAAATCTGAGCTAGATAGGTATAGGAAACCATAATATAGTTTGAAATAGCATTTAATCTGCTTCGATTTACTTTAAAAAATACAGGGTGTTGCATTTGAAATAACGAAGTTTTTATATAAAATTAAAATAAATCAGCACTTTTGGTACCCCTGTATAAATTTAAGGAAGCAATAACATTCTCATTAAAGTTAATTTAATTTAAAAAACAAAAGCTTTTTCCAAAATTTGGCCAGTAAACCCACTTTTTAGCCATTTAATACTTTAAATGTCAAATTTGACATTCTTGAGAGTAAACGGATTTAATCGGTAACGGAAGGAATCTATATGTTCAACGATTTGAAAGATTCAGAAGTACCAAGGACTTTATCGATAGACCTAACACACTATACAGAATGGATACCTGGAATAAGAGATGAGCAAACACCTGGTATATTAAAATTTTCTAGAGAAACAGAATATCTAGATCGGAGGTTTTTGCACACCATTGTTTTGCAACGAAATCTATTGATTAAAAATATTTCCAATATGGCGGCACTTCCGGAAATACCGTAAGTTGACAACAACTTTCTTATTTTAAATGGGTGCCCCCATTTTTTTACATACTTAAATTCTCTATAAAATTCTATGAATACTGATGTTAAACACTCTATATCTAACATGAACCGTTTTTGAGAAAAAAATATTTACAATTTTTGGACGAAAAAACTACCTGTCAAAAAAATTGTTCAAATGTCATATGAATGGCGGTAGCTGACATGGAGGCACTTATTTAAAATAAGAAAGTTGCTGTCAACTTCCGGTATTTCCGGAAGTGTCGCCATGTTGAAAATATTTTTAATCGATAGATCTCATTGTGAAACTATGATGTGCAAAAAATCTCCGAGCTAGATGTTATAGTTCTCTAGAAACTAGTAATGCACGCTCAGCCTGGGACACCCTGTATACCCAATCGGTAAATACAGGGTATTTTTGAGTGTAGATAAAAAATTTGCTTACAGCTATATTTTTTAATGTCTAGCATTTTCTTAAACCTAACTAAAATTATACCTGGTGGGCAATGACACTGCCTGCCTCCCACTACATTCGTACATATGGCACCTGGTCCGCAAGCTCCTGGTTGTTGGCATTCGTCTAAATCCACGCATCCGTCATAGGGGTTACCGTAAAATCCTTCGGGACACACGCAGGAATAGTTTCCGGGGGTGTTTTGGCACAGAGAGTTTTGTCCACAGATGTTTGGTTGTTGGCATTCGTCGATATCTAAATATATGTTTAATTTTAATTACAGTAAACCATTTCATTATTTCTATAATTATTTAGAATTATTATTGTTATGAATATTAGGATTATTGATTAGTGTGCCTATTAGCAATTATTTTTTACTATAATATACAGGGTGGTCCGAACTGTATTCCGGAAACTTCGGAAGCATATTCTGCAACTAAAGATAAGTAAAAAGGTTCGTAGAAATGTATGTCCTAAAATGCTTAGTTTCTGAGATACAGGGTGTAGAAGTTTCATTTTTATTTTTTCAGATTAATTTCTGAAGTAACGTCAATATTTGGATGATAATTGGTGTCTGGGAGTTTTTTGACATAAGAAATTCGATTTCGATTTCAATCTGACTCCTACTTGTAGAGGGCACCACCTACATACTTTTTTACTGGTTTGAAGAGTAATAACTTTTTGTCCGTACCTGTATAAACCTACCGATTACAAAAATATACATTTACGGCGTTTTTTACGTAAAAAAGATCCCTTAGTAAAAATCGCTACGAGTAATGGTTCTCGAGATATTTGGAATCGTATTTAAAAATACCTGTCACTATTGATTTAAATTAAACAGGTGGACTAAATAGTTATTATACTGAAATCATAAATTTGAAATGTTTTTGTGCCAAAAGTTCAACAGAAACTGTTTTATCATCATTTTTCGACGAAAAATTTATGATAAATTTAAAAAAATAAAAAGTTTCCAAATTTATAATATCAGTCAAATAACTATTTACACAACATGTTTATTTTTCGTCAATAATGACATGTATTGACTATTTCCATTTTAAATATCTTGACAACGGTTGCTCATAGCGATTTTTCCTGAGAGACTTTTTGTACGCAAGAAATTACGGAAATGTGTAATTTTTCACTCAGTAGGGGTTTTATACAGGTACGGAAGAAAAGTTATTACTCTTCAAAATAGTTAAAACAGATGTAGGTGGCGACCTCCTAAAAATACGAGTCATATTGACATCAAAATCAAATTTCTCATATCAAAAAACTCCCAGATACCAATTTTCAGTCAAATATTGACGTTACTTCAGAAATTGTTTGGAAAAAACCAAAATAAAAAAGAAATTTCTACACACTGTATCTTCAAACTGAGCATTCTAGTACATACATTTATACGAACTTTTTTACTTATTTTTCACTGCAGAATATGTTGCCGAAATTTCCGGAATACACTTCGGACCACCCTATTTTGATTTATTTTCCACTATTATTAATTTTGACGTTCTGAATGCTTACATAGAACATCAAAATTAGTGCTAGACATTTTCAATTAGTAGAAAAAGTTGTTAAACTTTTAACTTTTCCACTAATTATACTTCAAAATTTGCGAGAAATGTCATTTTGGTCTTTCATTATCTTCTGTCAAGAAAAATTGTGGTTAGAAATCAAAAATTGATTGTTTTATAAGCTAAATATTAGGCTTTCTCTATGGATTCAACTGACTAACGCAAGCTGTTGCTAGGAGATTCTATTAATTTTAATTGTGTTTTTTGAATATTGTAAATGAACGTAAACGAAAAAGTATAAAGTGGAATTGAAACCACTAATTTATTCCACTAATTGCGAGGTTCTGAATGAAACTTTAGAAATTAAATTCAGGATAAAATTGTGAGACACCTATCTATTTATAAATTCGAAAATAATTTAAAAGGATATAAAACTGGCATTCTGACATAAATAAAAAATTATGTATAAAGGATAAAATCTCAGGTTATATCGGTCTGTTTTCATTCAATGACACTCATTTATTCATTAAAGCCGTTAGTGGTTACTAACATCATCAGGAGGTACCAAGCTACAAGAAACATTATTCTTTACAACAAAGCAATCCAGCAAACAATACAAAATATACAAGATAAGAGTTAACATAACTAATGTAGTCAACTTAACGTAGTTGAACTAACGTAAACGTAACTAACGTAGTTAACTTATCTTGTATATTTGTATTGTTTACTGGATTGCTTTGTTGTAAAAAATAATGTTTCATGTAGCTTGGTACCTCCTGATGATGTTGGTAACCACTAACGAAATATATAGAGGCTTTAATGAATAAATGAGTGACATTGAATGAAAACAGACCGATATAACGTGATATTTTATCCTTTATACTAAAAGTACGGTCGAGAAACAATCCTTATATAATAAAAAAATTATGTTTACTCTGCATTTAATGTTGTGGATAAAAATATATGTATTTTGCATTAACATTAAAAATAAAATGTTCTTGACAAGACAAATAATTTTTTTAAGTCTCTAATTAAACATTTATAAATTGAGCTTAAGTAGCATAATTATTAATACATTCAATAAAATAAAATTCAAAGAAATCAATAAAACTTACCGAGGCACTGGACCTCTCCATCGCCTCGAAATCCAGGATTGCACTTGCAAAGGAAGTGAGATGGTAAATTGCAACACTCGGCATTTTCCACACATCTGGCAGCAATGGCAGGATCGTCGCACTCATTGATATCTGAAAATAAAAGACATTTATTAAGCTACGCCCATGGATGTATGACACTCTATATAATTAAAATAATAATTATAGTATCTCTCTTTAAACATGGTCGTTGTTGGTACGACCACAGCAGATTATAATCTTTGCTTTTTCTTTACTAACCAATTTTCGGAATCGGCACTAGTTAGTTAATTTGCGCACATAGCACGCCCACCTATGGCCACTAAAATTGTGCACAGCGCCTGACCGGCACAGTTATTAGAGAGATATCGGAAAACCGAATAGCGTCATGCAGTATTTACGCGTACCTTATCATGGTTACGATATGCGCGAGTCAATATTTCGAAAGATGCTTAGGTTTACAGCAGATGACGACTTAGCCCTTCTAAGAGAATTTGTTGCTTGTTGCCCTAAACCCACTGACAGACGTTGAACAATAAAGCACTTTAGCCCTTTAGTTTTAAAATACCTAGTAAAACAAAAACAATTTTTTTTTTTTTTTTAAATTCAAAGTTAGGTGTTTAAATAGCGGACGCGACGCGACGCGAACAGAACTCTTTCCGATCCGATAACTATAAATGAAGAGAGTTAACACCACCTCACGTAAAGGAAATAACACCTTTATTAACGTCCATGCACGCTTTTCGGTTTAGCGATATCTCTCCATTACGCTGTTTATTGTTATTTTACGCGAGTTTATTTTATTACAGGAAATTTTACTCGTTTGCACATCGTCATAAATAACAATTTTCGTACCACGAATTAGGGACAAGATTTTTATCTGTATACTCATAGGATACCTAATCTGGTGGTAATGACAAAAGTCTCTTTCAACAGGCGAGTAATAAACAGGGAAATTCCTGTCTTTCGCTAGCGATCATTAAATGACCCTTGTACGACTTTGGTACGATTCAATTTAAGGATCGCCCATAGGTGTAGGTAGAAAAGGGTATTAAAGTACCATGGTATTAAATATAGTAGTTGGTTATGAACAAAAGTCTCTTTTCGTATTATGATATAATAAAACAGGGAATTCTGCTCAGTACGACCATTAGTACGACTCAATTTAAGGATCGCCCATAAGCGTAGGTAGAAAGTATACGCAGCACCAACGGGACGAGGGAAAAAGTAACAGGAATTGAAATATCGGTTTCTTTTGAAAAATAACGGCTTCCTTGGCTTAGTTCGGCTGCAATTTTGCCGAAACAATGGCCGAAACCGAATCTATATAGGTTCGGGATATTTCGCGCTATGTCAGAACATGTTTGATGCACTTATAGTATTATTAGATTGTTTAATTATGAATATTGATAATTATTAGCTAATGAAAATTGTCTGCAATAATTATTATAGCTCAACTCGGGTACTTTTTTTGGTGACTTTGAGGAGAAACCTGATATCCGCGGTAATTTCCGCCACCATGCGATTTTAATCATTTCACAAAATTTTATTTAATTGTTAAAAATTTTTCACTTTTCAGATAGGGTAGGTAGATTTCTTAATTTTAATTGCTAACTAGTAATAGTAGGATAGATTATAATTTTAACTGGTAGTTTATTAACAAGAGTGCTATACAGGGTGGGTCTGGGAGACTGTATCTGGAAAAACTTCGGCAGCATAGTGTATAAAAAATAATAAAAATTGTAAATAGATATAATTTTGAAATTTAGTACAGGATTAGCAGCGCCCCAAGAGCATTCTGGAAATTAAAAAGACAGGGTTTTCTACGATCGTGACTTGAGTACAAAAAACGAAACTTGCAGTGTATCGAGCAATTATAATCCCCGCATTGTTATATGGGAGTGTAACCTGGGTGCCGTACCGTGGACACATGAACGCATTAAATAAGTTACAACAGAGACACCTTAAGAATCCGGTGGTTCCATCGTGTCTCAAACGTATCGGTTCTTGGAAAAGCTAACTGCGAGGAGATTGAAGTCATGGTTACAAAACTCCGCTTAAGATAGCCAGTCAGCCGTACCGTTTGACCAGTATGGACTTAGCTACGGGAAGGAATGTAAGGAGAAAAAAAAAAAATCTGATACTGCTACTGTTGATTCGTTAAACGTAAAATTGCCGGACATGAACCATATAAATTTAATATATTTTTATTATACATAATGTGTTTAGCATATAATCTGACGTATACACTAAGGAATTGTAACGTAGTTCATATTGTTCGATATGTTTTATTTAATAACTTATTTTTTTTTTTTTTTTTTTTTTTTTTTTTTTTTTTATTAATATTTTAGAAGGTAATAGTAATGATGATACTATGTAAACCGGCATCGCTGCGCATGGCCGCCTATTCAACGAACATGATTGGCGAGAGTACGTCACAGGATTTGTTACCAGGCGGTTGCCATGGCTTTTCCTATTCGCTTGCTTTATCCTCAACTTCACGGTCTCTTCTGAAAAGGGTAGGAATATTGAATACTATTGAAATATCCAGTGGAGGTGTCATTCTTTTGATCATTATTACTTCTATTCTAATATTTTATACCGGTTATCCTAAACTCTATTGTATTCCTATATTTTCGTATATTTGATAGTTAAGTTGTGGTTTTATTGCTTTGTTATCTTGTTATAATGTTTTCGTCTGTAGTTTTAATTATTAATACACCGTTTTGATCGTATATTTGTGTTTTAAAACGAATAAATTTGTTAATGGTAAGACGCTACATAGTCAGACAAGAGAAATAATAGCTAATTTATATAGGTAAGTTAATAATAACGTGGATGAAATCCCATTTGGTTTATTTCCTTGTGTTCATATTAAGGTTTGCGACGAAGAAGCTACAGAGAGTTCACTTAAGTTGCCGCTTAAATGTAAACTGAGCGGATATTTCTTCAAACTCGTCCCCACAATTAGAAAGCTTGTGCAAAAATTGCAGGAAGAATCGAATTTTCCCTTTGCAGGGAAACGCTTAGGGGTTATTAAAAATCAAATGAATTTTTTTTATGTAAATGTCAAAATAACTGATAACATAATGGAGCGGCCCATTATATTGTGAGAGATATATAAATATATACGCGAAATTGAGAATATAGCCAAGCATTATCTATTTGGATGAAACATATAGGTAGACAATGACCTAACCTTTTAAAACTGCTGGCGGAGCGATACCATATCTGGTGTAATAGGCAATATTGGATCTATTGGTGAGTAAAATTATGTCTTGTTTGCGCTTCCAAAGTTAACTATTTCAAGATTTTTTTTGCTGGAAATAGCTATATCTAAAATTAAGTGTAATATAGTTATATATAACACATTTCTTGATAAAGACCCTACCAAGTCGAAACGCCAAATGAAATTTTTAAATATAAAAACCGTTTTCCTTACATTGTTTACCGGACCTAAAGCCAAGAAAATTAAATAAAAATTATATATTTAGAGGTCAAAGAAAAAAGAAATAAAAACATATATATAAATAAATATACCCTCAAGACTCAGTCTCTTGATCATCCGGGTTGATGGCAGGACTTGGTTAGCGAAACGCAAGTGTCCAGTGTAAAATTAAACGTGATTTGGTGTATTGTAATTGATTTAGTGTTTTATTTTGCTGTGTAACACTCACTAAAGGTTCCAACCCCCAGCTGCAATTATTTCAAGATAATACCAATAATAAAATGATTCCAAAATATTTGTTGGGGCTTTGAATGAAACTCTAGTGTTTATCCGCTAACTCAACAGTAACGACTCAAACAGCATAAAGTTTTGAAAAAATATTAATCTTAGTTGATGATATTATGGATGCTACACATTATTTTCATATAACACCGTACGCCCATGCCTATTTTATGAATGAAATTGGGCGTGTTTTGTTTACAACTGCGTTCCCCTGCCGATACCCCGTAGCTACAGATCCGTTGCTCACACTATATGCAGAATGCAAGAAAACCGCATACCAAAATCTGTGCTTTACGGTGAGCTTGTAGACGGTAAGAGGAGGCCGGGTGGACAACTCAAAAGGTACAAGGACATTTTCCACAAAAGCTTAAAGGTCATTAACATGCAGAATCATTGGGAAGAAGCAGTTCACAATAGAATTCAATGGAGAAGAATTGTAAACTCAGTTAACAGCGACAACCAAAAAGTAAAGAGGCAACAAAGTAACGAGATTTTTAAACGTTCGAAGTGCGGGTAGGCAACAACACGTATCATTTTTAGTCACAGAAAAGTTCATAATAGAGTTCTTCCTAGGACCATCTTTGATGTACAAATAATTCGTCAGCGAGCAATGGCAGCATGTATGTATGTAAATAGCCAAGCAAAAAAGTTCGTATAAAAGTGCTGTACTTTGATGAAAATTGGTATCTGGGAGTTTTAATATGAGAAATTTTATTTGTTGTCAATATGACTCCTACGTAGAGGAACAAATGTCTATTATTAATTTTAAATAGACTAGACATTTTTGTTTTGTTTCAAAAAAAAAATCTTTTTTACGTAAAAACGTCATAAATGTATTTTTTTTTTATTTAAGAAAATTAATGGCAAATCCAAAGGGAGAAAAGTTTATTAGTCTTCAAACCAGGTAAAAATATGTAGGTTGCAGGAATTCGCAAGAGAACATATTGCATTAAAATTTATACGAAAATCGAATATAATTGCAATAAATAATAATAATAACTATTGATATATAATATATAGATAATTTTGTATATAAACTATATTATCTTTGCTTTATAATTAAATTCCATTGTTCTTTTAATACGTCCTCTAGCCGTCGTACTGACCCAAATAATCGAAGGTATCCATCTTAACGGGAACGCAAGATTCGTCCTCAGCGAGTTCCTTGACTGTGCAGCGATCCTGCTGAACTCTACTGAGTTATTACAAATGCGCGAAGAATGGAAGCAGTACCAACAATAGTCCAACAACTTTAGAGAAACTAAACTGTCCGTAAGGTACACGACGCGCCGAAAATAGAGGTGGTAGTCCTGTATTTTAAGAGTCGACCGAGCGCAATGCTCATGGACCTCTCATCCAGTTCCAGTTTGGGTTGGACTCAGGCC